TACATTTTCCCAATTTTAATCGTAATCACCTCCATGAGAAGCAGACTGCCTGGGTAGGCGAATTGTAGTCATTGATTCCATTAGAGTGGATACTCTAATTGTATACAATAAAGTAGTACAATTAGAGTAATATTAGAACGATTACCTATAAATTATTATAGGTATTTCATTAGATTGATCATTATTTAATTAGGATTCCCAGATAAATAATATTAACACTAAAGTTGCTTTCATCTTTAATAAGTAGTTGGTAGTATTAATGGTCTTTTTCTATATAAATTAGAGGAAAGATATTTCTTCGAAGGTTGGACGGATGAATGAAAGACATTTTTTTTATTTATCACTTTGTATGCAAGAATTCATCAAAGATGGATCTTTCTCTTCTTTCACATGTTACTGTCAATCTTCGAACAATTCCACTTTTTAATTCATATTAATAAAAGTGAACGTGCATCGATGTGCTACTTAATTTATATAACATTCTGCAGCTTGAGATTTTCGGATCTTTGCAGCTGTAGTTAGTAAAACATAAATCTTATAAGCCGTAACTTATTACCTACATGTAATTGGACGAAGCCGTGACCAGTAGCTAGGAACTTTATTAAGAGAAGTTGTTCCCAGCGGCGGGTCTTAGCCAGGTAAGAGGGAACAAGTAACAGGTGCCCAATTAACTAACACACACCTAACAGGTGTCAACCAACCACCCGCGAGGCTCAACTGAGCAGCAAATGCAAAATAATATCCCCCTTCCCTAAAACATGGTCAGTTAGGTATCAAGTTGCAACTTTATTTTTCTTCCTCAATGCTTCATACGGTATCATACGGTATGGATATCTAAATCCTAGTAAGTTTTAATGAATCTATTTTCAATATAGATTCTTCTAACAAAAAATCCATGGTTAACAACCGCTGAACAACTAAAAAGCATAAGGTAAACATAAATACCAACCAATGTATACATAAAAAGAGGGGTTAAAATGACATCATGAATTTCAGGTTTCAATATGTAAACCTAGGAGTACTTTCGCAAAAAGTCATGGAAGAAGTAGAAAACAAGATGCAGCAATTGAAATTAAAGATATTTCATTTCAGCTGAAAGCTTCAAAACCTCTGGCATATAAATCAAACAACGTTTCTGATCCATGAATAGGTGTATAAAATTAAAAAAAAATAAAATAAATTAATAATATGCAGAAGGTAAAATAAAAATGAACTGTAAATAATTTTTAAACAAATATGTATAAATGTAGAAACAATTGAAACAAATATTAATAATCTTATGTTATGATGTTCTAAAAGTGGAAGGAAATGTATCTGAGGAAATAGACACACACGGGAGAGAAAAGTTTTCATACTTTTTACCTAAAATAACATAACACTCTTCCTAAAGAAAAATATAAACATTAAATAATATTAGAAAAAATAAACTAATAATATGAGATCTCAATGTACAAATAGTTGAAATTAACTAATTTAGCAAACGCTTTTTTGTTCGATCATGTTGCGGCAACACTCCAGAATTCTCAAGTTAGAAGCGACGCATTGTATATAAAAGCGACGCACACAAGAGCCTTGTACGGCATAACTCACTCAAGATAATTTTGCGGATTTATTATTATTTTTAAAATAAATCCAAAAATCGAACCCGATAATATTAATAAAAGGAACACCGATCGTTTATATCTACTACTTGATCCATTATTTTCGGTGGAAATAGTTCACCTAAAATATAAAATATCCTTTTTAAAGAACAGATTAGAAACATTAGAAAATATTATGATATTGCGGTAATATTTTATAGGTCATATGAAAGTCGAAATATTATAAGACCTGTAAAGAAGTTAACAAAAAATATTTAAATTGTTACAATTTACAATTAGTACAGGATTTTAAGGTTAAAATCGCCTTAAATATGTAATATCACACACACCCACACATACACAGACCAACTTTTTTTTGTGACTTAGTTACTCGGACTCAGGGGACCTTTTCCGTTGAAAAATCAATTCGAAATTTTTTGCAATCGCAATGCTGTATTATTACATTTATAGGTAAGTGAAAGTAAAAATGGAAATCCTAAGAAAATCTTCCTATCTAAAAGTGTAAGAAAAGGAGAATAAATAATGGAGTAAAGCAGAATGGTGAAGTAGTAGCTCTATTGGCTAAGATCGAACATTCTACCGAAAAAACAAACCAGCTTTGATCAAACGATAAATGGGCCTGTCTGGTAAATTTTCAATTCATATCACCGAAGATATATTTACGAAGGAACCTAGGACATATTTCCCAATACACGTCGATTTAATATGAATTTCATGAGCTAGCTATTTGTGTAATCAGAAATGTCAAAGATCAGTACACATCTAAGCAAAAGTAAGTAAATAGTTGTTTAATAGTTTACTGTACAATAATGTTCGAATAATTAATAATAACTGCAAGTATATACCATCCTCTCCTAAGAAGTATATAGACTTTATCGAAAAAAAAACTGAGGATAGTTAGTGAAAGCGACTTGGAAGAGGGACAGGCTGTATTAAGATATCAAGGGAGGCACACCAGAACAAAGCACATCCCACTCGAGACAATTGTTGGAAAGTACAGGTACAGAGGGAATAGTATTTACCTCGTGGTCCTAAATATAAAGACATCCTCGACTCCTTGGATTCTAGACAAGACGATGAGGATAGCTCTAGCCACTAAAAATGTTCATTAATGAAATAAAATCTAGGCACCACAGCCCTCTAGATATAATTAGAACGAATAGGAAAGAATCAGGAATTCTCAACATGAGTCAACGTATTAAGGAAGGTGACCAAGAATTTTCCAACAAAATAAAAAAGATAACAATACAGCTTTATAACAATGGCGGAGAAAAGGGCGATGGAAAATAGTTAAAAAACTGTAGGAAAATAGAACTACACCTGTTTAAGGGCGTCTACCTACCATATGGGAGAGAAAGGATTTTACTAGGTAGGCATTGAAGTAGAGTTAACGGAGATCACAAGTGCAATTACAGGAAAGTGTGGAATGAGAGGATACAGGGAACGTTGGTGTACCCGTTTTGAGGAACATTGTTGAATTTACAGCCAAAGTGATTAGGCCATCTTTACTAAATGTATGGTAATCAGAATCTACGGCAGTATTTTGAAGTTAGACCCAACTTATAGCCCAATATTATAGCCAACGTCGTATTGGATGGTGGCTATAATATCTTCAGCATATGAAAAGAGAAGATAAAGATTCTAAAATCAATGGAAGAGCTGACTTGGCCTCCTGATGCTTGGCTGAGGTTGGAGCGAAAAGGATGCCTCCGCATTGAATGGCACAAAGAATGCTGAAAATGAAAAAAATCTTATTTGGCTGGTTAAACTTCCTTTGGATACTACATCAGAGATACTACATTGATGAATATTTCTATGAGTATCATCTATGTCAGAGGAAAATAATTGTTATATCCGAAACGATAAAAGAAAATTACCATTATTAGTGCAGCTTGTTAAGTCTCAAAGATTTTATAAATATACGTCACAAACTATACATACTTCTATAAATAAATTATTCTGTTCTGAAATGGTTTACTTTGTTAATGACTATTTCTAGATTTTTACACTCGTTCATTCTTATTCATAGTATTTCTTGTTATTATTTATTTATTATTATTTAAATTCTGCTTAACGTATCTATATTTATATTTATTTTATTAATTGTAATCACCTTTCTTTTTCTTCATCCACAAGTGATTCAAGATTTTTGGACAATAATGACGTTTTTACTATTCTAGAATAATGTTTTTTCTAATTAAATTATATAAGAGCTTTCGGGCTCCACCAAACCATCGAAATCCTATCGTATCCAATCCTTACAATCCAAAATCCTTCGTAAAATCCTTAATGCTCCATACTTTGTGACAAATAAAACCATTCATAAAGACCTTAATGTACCATATGTAGCTGATTTAGCCCGTGCCAGATATCTATCCTTTCATGATAAACTCCAGTCCCATCGAAATCCCCTTGTTTTTTCCTCGATTCCTGATAACCCTCCTAGGCGTCTGAAAAGGAGATGGCCTCATAATTTTCTTACCTAGAATTATTCACTGCTAACACTGAGGAGTATCTCTTCAAGCCTGTTCATGTCATTATTTTTAATTTGTGCATATTTACTAGTTGTATGTAAATAACCTGTTTAATTGTAAATAATTTGTTTTGGCGGGAATAGTGAATATTCCTCCCGTTTTTATATCGGGGAACTAGGTTATTTACACAATATTAAGACAAAACCCCGGCACTGGAAATAGACTTTTTGAGGACGTTTAACTGTCATTGGGAATTCGGGAATCTGATACTTTTTGTGACACTGAGTGAGAAAAAACTATAAAGAATATATATATGAAATGTGGGACTTAATAAAAACACTTTGAATGAATTGACTAACCTGGTTTGTTATTCTTCACAACTAAATAGCAGATAGGACAACTAAATAAATGAATGACTTTTCACTCCTGTATAACAAAATAATTTATTTCTACAGCTGTAATAAATTGACTCTATTAAAGTGTTACAACTATAGACTTGATCTTCTAAATCTTGTAGTAGACTTCTAACGTCGTTCCGCCTCAATGTCTCAGCCTCAAGTGCCTGCTCTCTTCTCCAGCGTCCTTCTTCAGCTGTTGCTACCTGCTCCGTCCATTTCCAGCGTCCTTCTCCATCGATTGTTTATCGATATGAGACTTTTCAATGAATTTGTTAACAATAATTTGTTCACTGCATAATTGAGTACAATTCATCGTACAACCTCACCATCCTATATATTCTCTCTCATACCCTCACACAATGTCACATAAAGGAGTAAATATTGGGGGCTATCTACTACATGTATTTGTACACAGTTGTAAATTTCATTAATTAGAATATATATATATATATATATATATATATATATATATATATATATATACACATAAATTAAATTTTAAACTCTATAAATTAAAGCTAGATTACCTGGTAAGCGGGTAGCTGAGGTAGAAGAGACTGTATGATATTGAGAATATGGAGAGAGCGAGTAGAATGAATAGTGCTCTGCGGAGAGTGAGGGGGCCACGGCCCCGCCGCGTCCCGAGCAGCTGAGCCCGCTCCTCCATCTTCGTTCGTCCATCCTTCTCCTACATAATACCCCCTCTGCAACAATAAAACAAAAATAATATTATAATTATATTTTAATGTTAGCATAACAGTCAACACATGAGTGTAGCATTATAACTAAGTCGATTTTCAAATAATCAATTGTATTTGTACCACTTTCCCCTATATCAGTGGTCGGAAAAGTGCGGCTCCAGAGCCGCATGTGGCTCTTTGGCTTTTTAAGTGCGGCTCTGGCACAAATATCCACGGAAGACGGAATGATATTTTCATTTTTAAAAAAACTCGGTAAAAAAATTACATCTTATTTTGATAAATTAAAATTCTTCTTTTTTTTCTGGGAAGTTGTATGATATTCTTCATTATTTGGCAATGATTACTTCCAATTAACAAAAATTGCATTTATTTGTTGTAATATCAACGTTGTATGTTTACAAGTTTACGTTTCGGGATATTCACTCCCATCTTCAGAACCATAATTCCAATGATCTTGTGGATAAATAGCTAAACAAAATTTTTAGTTAAAATATATCTGCTGTTATTAAATTCTAATTTTAATATATATTTTAATATGTTCGCATAATGTGTTCCTAAATGTTTAGTGTCTGTTTTATAGTTTTTGTGATGTGTATGGCTTCAAGTAACTTCCTATTGGTGTTTTTTGTTCCGTGTCTAATATCTGTGGTCTATTAAAGTTAAATGTATGCTGTAATCTTATGCCGTGATGTGTTAAAGCTGTTGTGTTTACGTTTTTTGTATTTTTACAGTTAGTAATATGTTGTGAAATTCTGGTCTCTAATTGCTTGGATGTTTCTTCTCTAAATCGAAGACATGTATATTTTTTTGTTTAGCTTAAAAGATGGATACGTAATTAAAATTTTATGTTGTTGTAAAAACACATAACGAACATCGAGTTTAATTTTATTAGTTTTCATAAACGTTAACACAAACCATGTACAAGCTGCCGGCTGAAATTTTTCTAAAAGCCGTATTTTTTCGGCGTACTCTGGTGTGATGCAAAGGTACCACAAGCATACGCGCGCATACTTTTTCTTGTTGGCAGGTTTCAGGAATTTCAAAAAAGCAGAGCATCTTTAGCATTTGTGAAAAATCCTCTTAATGCTTCGATAACCGAGTTGAAATTTTCTCCTTTTGAAATTGACATTGGTAGCTTTGAAATACAATTGCTGGATTTAAAAAACAAGGAGATATGGCGCAATTCGAAAGTCTTTGTGTTTAATTGGAAATATTGGAGAAGAAAAAACGTGATCTTAGTTCACAATACAAGTGGTCTGCTTTGAATGATCTGCAGAAGGAAGACATGATTATTTTCAACGCTTGGAATAGTATTCCTGACTCTTACGAACACCTGAAAAAGCTGGCGTTTGCTGTTCTTTAACTTTTCGGTTCTACATATATATGCGAACAATCTTTTTCAAGCATGAACATTATCAAGAGTAAACGAGAAGTCGTCTTATTGATGAGAACTTGGAATTATGTCTAAAATTAAAAACAACAATATACAAACCTGACTTACTTAAACTTTCCAAGGAGATGCAAGCACATTTTTCGCATCAATAAATATTTATTAAGTATGAAATTTATTTTTATTTAGTGTACTACTTATTTAGTATAATAAAAGTTTACTAAACAAGCAGAGTTGGCTTCCAATTTTAATAACTGTTCCGACCATTGCCCTATACCAATGTTAAATATAGTATTTACTACATTAAATATTACAATTGCCATGTTACATATTATTTGCGCAAAGCTAATCAGAGTGGTGATTAAAAATTATATATCATAAAGTAGCAATAAACTACTCAATGAATAATTAACTTAAGTCCATTTTGTTGGTATTCTTCACCGATAAAAAGTCAATATAAAACAAATATGAGAAAGATATTCAAATAGCTATAGGATTGAACAAGGGCAACCTTGGATATCGCCAAATCAGCAACATGAAAAAAGATGTATATAGTATCTGTATAAATCTCTCTCTCTCAAATAAGTTCTGTATAAAACAACTGTCCTCCACATCCTCCTGTAAGGCGCAGAACGCTGGATTGCACTAAAACGCTCAATGAAACAGGAATGAGGTTCCTCAGGGGAAACATAAAGTAATTCTTTAAGGAATGAAGTCGTCAGAATGGAATTAAAAGTTTTACCACTGAAGGAAAAAATACATGGACGCCAACTGCGCTGTTTTGAACATAAGATATTTACAGGCAGAAAAGTAAAACGTTTCGTGGAAGCTAATTCAGTAGGAAAAATACTAGTGGGCATACCCGGAACCACATACATGCTGTATCTAGAGATACTTGGAAGAAAGGTAAATCTCAGATGAAAAGGGTGGAAGCGTGGATTCAAGCACAAAAAAAGGATTTAAATATATATATATATATATATATATATATATATATATATATATATATGCACTGAAACGTGAGTTGCGTGTATTCGCAAAATATACACAACTTCATTGATAATTTGAAATGGTAATATTGTTAAAAGGATTTCAAGTTAGATTATATTTCTTACGTAATAATGTATCAATAACGAAATAGATAAAAGTATTCGTTTATTTGAAGTAGTTCTGGAGATTTTCCTGTTGTAATGGCAATTCTTCTGAACGACCTTTATCCAAAGAAAATCCGTCGTTACAGATTCATATGTCGTCAAAGGGAGGATTTTCAAGGGATATCGTCAGATCTCTAGCCTTGGAGCGATTGTTAGGCAAATTGCTCTGTCGCTAAACTTCCATTGAGATGCTGAATTCGGCACAAAGGTAGCTAATAGCCGGCATATATATGCAAGGAACATGCAAGGGATATGTATGGTGAACTTGAGGTTTTACTAGAACTGAGGGAAAAATTTAGAAGCAACTTTATTTCATTATTATTTTTTTTAATGATGTAATAAATCAGAAATAACATAATGAAACAATAATGATATAATAAAAATTACTATTTTTAGCAAAGATACAGCTTATTGAAATTTGTTGGTTCAATTAAAATAGTGTCGGTTCTAAACAAAAATGAAGGTTTAAATTAATTTTTGTTTCCTTTGTCCAATATATTTATCGATAAAGTAACATTTGATTTCTTTATCTTTTGATACGCTGCATTATTTTCTTTTGTTATTAATTTGGCATTTGATAACAATACTCTGTGCGAAGTTTCCGCACGGGCCTACAAGTATGTTTTAATTATAAAATGCCCACAACCTTTGCCTCGATACTTAATTCTTATTTGTTCATTCTTAATTAATAACATATACAATTAGTTTATAATTTAAAATTGGATATCTTAAAGAATACAATTATGATCTGAAAACGATATTGAATTTACATTTTCTACTAATTTAATAAAATAACTACCTTCGCTGCAGTCTACCTCTCGGACGTTTGCCAGTCGGCAGAGTGCTTATTAGCTTTTTAGGAATTTTTTCGTAATGAAGACCAGAAATTTTACATTCCCATTTTATTCTTCTCAACATAATCATCTCAATTATATTAACCAGGTGCAGTTCACGCAATTCGGAATTGTGTAAACACCTAAATTCTCCGGTTGACTCATCCTTGGTCGGTCCGAATATCCTACGCAATATTTTTCCAATTGATATTCCAAGTGAAAATGGTTTTAGCCAGTTCTGCTAGATGTAGGCTTTTTTAACACAAAAAACAAAAGTCCTTAAATTCTTCGTTTGTTCATCCTTTTTCCCTTTATCTATTCAATCAACACGGAATACTCGCTCGCAAACTTATACATTTCTTTTCCCAACAAAACTGATTCCTTTGAAAAAGCCTTTTATCATGCTTGCTACCTTGCATAGGAATTCTTTAGTCAACTATGAATGCAAAACATTAAGTTCATTTAATCATCAATTATTTCTCCATCTTCCCATCTGTCAGTCATCCGTGGTACATGTATTGTTTATTTATTTTTTCTTTTACGAGGCGTACCATACGAGGAGACGGTTATATACAGAAATAAGCAATCTAATTTACTTATTCTTGCCTTTTATTTTAATTCTAAAATTTTATCATTTTATAATTGAATTATTTTTTACTGCGATTTTGTGCCAGATAAATGTAACTGGTATTGTACATTTCCATTATTATAAGTGAACAAAGTGTCTCAGAATATAATTGTTTTCTTTCTAGTAATTTGGATGAGTGTATCGTTCAATGACAAATGCACCACTGTGTTAATTTAAGATTAGATGATTTAAGAATTTCACAGAAGTAAAAACACATTTAAAACAATATCAAATTTTGTATATATGAAATTTTAAATCAGTGCATAAGACTTAAATGAAATTAATTAAAACTATTCACTGCCTGAGACAGTGAACAGTAAAAGATCAAAATTGAGACTATGGAATAATCAAGGTGCAAACGATTCCTGCTATGCTTGAATAAATAACACAACGCGACCTAGATTCGGCCTTCTATATACTGAGCAAGGCTATACAGCAATACCTAAAATACTTCATTAATGCTAATTACTTGCAATATACTTTAGATACAGATTTAATTTACATATCCTACTAATAAGTCAAAGGTATTAATTCCTACGAAACCCATAGATATAGCGTCCTTCTAATTTTTGGAGGACCGGTAATAAGATAGTTCTTAATAACGATATTTAATAATTATAAGTGAATAGAATTATGATAAGAATAAAGAATTGATCGGAATATCCAGTTTCAACTGGCTTGGTATTATTTTTTATTTGTTTATATAACTTAAATGAGGGGAGGCTTAGTAAGACAACGGGCTCTTATGTGCTCAGATTCGAATCCGGGTGTAGCAGAAAATACAGTTTCTATTATACTCGTAGAGGACCGAAACCGGAGTTTAAAGGAACTTTCCGGGGCATGTCAACGTGTCAGGGTGGAATAAAAACAATTTTTTAATCTAACAATTTTCTTATAGCATTCAAAAGTTTTTTATGTCAACAACAAACACACTACAATATTTTGGCTTTGTATATTTATA